ATGCCAAGAAATCAGAATCCTTGCACACTACTAATGAGATCATAAAATGGAGCACATATTTTGGGAACACTCTTGACAATTTCTCAAAAGTTTACCATTGAATTATATGGCCTAACAATTTGAGGTACATATTTAAGAGAATTGGAAACACATTTTCACACAAAAAACTTAACACATGGAGTGTTTATAGCAGCATTGCTCATAATAGCCAAAAACTGAAAATAGCTCAAATTTCCATTAACTGATGATAGAATCAATAAAATACTGTGTTTCATGCAACACAATATTATTCAACCAAATGAGGTTCTGGGGCTGGCTCAGAGGCACAGCAAGCTAATCCTCTGCCAGCAGCTCCAGCATCCTATTTGAACACCAGTCCATGTTCCAGGTGCTCCCCTTCCTAACCCAGCTCCTTGCTTATTGACTGGAAAAACAGCAAAAAATGGCCCAAGTCCTTGGGCCCCTACACCCACATGAGAGACCCAGAAGAAGCTCCTGGCTCCTGGCTTCAGGTGGGCTCAGCCATTTTGACCATTTTGGGAATGAATCCGGTGATGGAAGAGCCCTTTCTCCATCTCTGCCTTTCTCCCTCTCTGTAACTCTCTGTAGCTCTGGCTTTCAAATAAAAATAAATCAATATTAAAAAAAAAAAAAGAATAAAAGAAATCCAAGACATACTTAAAAAAAAAAAAAGGTAAGTGCTGACACCTGCAGAACGCCACACGGGTGAATCTTAAGAACAATGCAAAGTAAAAGAAGTCAAGTCAGCCGGTAAAAACCACCTACCTTGTGATTCACTCATATTAAATGTCCAGAGAGAAAATTTCATAAAGATACAAACTAGAAGGTTTCTCGGTGGGATGATGAAATTCTTTCCAGGGTGATAAAACTGTGGTAATGGTTGCACAATGCTGTGAACACACTGAGAATCACTGGATTATTTGTTTAAAAGAAGAAACATTATGCAACATTCCTCAATCTGTTGATTTTCAGAAACTATCACTTTTTCTGACATTCTAAGTCAAATTTTTCATTTTTAAGATTTATTTTATTTATTTGAAAGGCATAGTTACAGAGAGTGAGTGAGAGAGAGAGAAAAATTCTCTCATTCACGGATTCACTTCCCAAACCTGCACAGCAGCGGGGGCCAGGCCAACCCCAAACCAGGAGCCACAAGCTTCATTCAGGTCTCTTACTTGGGTGCAAAGGCCCGCTCACTGGAGCCATCTTCCCCCACTGCTTACCCTGGTACATCAGCAAGGAGTTGGATCAGAAGTGGATCGGCTGAGACATGAGCCGCATATAAGATGCCAGAGCGGTAGGCAGTGGCTTAACCCATACACCACAACACTGGCTTCCAAAGTCAATTTCCTGAATATCAAAGGACCCAGCATAATGTCTAAGGCATAGTATGGGCAAGTGTTTCCGCCATTGAACAAAAGGGATATTCTGTCTGAAACAAAGCAACTTTCACAGTTGAACATACTTTCATCAGATACTTTCAAAACAGTTCTGTCAAGTAATTTGAGGCTGTGTTCCAAAAACCATAAAATATCCATATTTTGCATCCACAGACTTGCACTATAAATACAAAAATGATTTATGTGTTTTATACAGAGGTATACGTTATATTTACTGAAAATCATGTTTTACATTTTACGCTACTGAATATATATGATTATGGTATGCATAACTCTAATGGTATAATTATACTAAAATATCTATTTATATGCAAAAATCTATAGTGAGGGTTTTTCAATATGTTAGAATTCTAGGTGATTTTTAAAGCTTTCCATAAATTATTTTTATAGTAGAAATTTCAATAAAAATTTCAATTAAAAATTTCATTAAAATTTTTCAATAAAACTAATAACGAGCATCCCTTAAATCATTGGTGATAAACCATAAGTCTGTAAGTTAGCTGCATCCCATGCCAGGTTTATAATCCTAGACAACATGTGCCTCTTTATCCGTATAATAGAGCCACTCTGAAATACCAACTCTTCTCATTGCCCCTGCAAATTCTCCCAAAGTTGATCCAGAGTGACCCCCTCTGGAGATAAGAGAGAAGTTCAGCTTGAGACACAGGCCTTCAGCTGGGCCAGAGTTAGCCTCTCTAGCTTACGCCAGCTCACCACCAGATGCAACATTATCGGCTCTGCTTTATGAAGTCATGAGGAAGAAATTCTCATCAGAATCACCAGCAAATGCAAAGCAGATTACTTGGATCAAATGCATGTGGTCCAGTATGCTGAAAACAAAGATTTCTGCAAAAGATCTGATATAAATAAAATGATTTCCTTTTTCCATAAAGTATAAATAAAATCAGTGGTAGCTAATAACCTTTAGAACATCTGACACATTTATTTACTAACATAAATATAACAATATTCCCTTTTTAAAATTTCTTTTGCAATATTTCCATAATGATCTTAGTCCTCTAGTGATGATACCAACTTTCTGGTATAAACAAAAAGCATACAAACTATAAATAAGATATAAATACACACAAAAACCATTACTAAAGCCTAGAATCAACAACTCCACTCTACCCTTATTCATACTTAGTCCTGTGTGCAACTCCATGCTAGGTGGCAAAATACAGAAGAGTTCTTAAAACGTGTCCATCTTTGTGGGAACTGTGATCATCGGAAACAGGGACTACGAACAAACATAGTGACAATGGTAACTAATGGTAGCACTAGCCTACAACAAACACCAAAAGAACCGTTCCAGCGAGTTCTCTTTTCTCTCAGCGAAAGAACTGATCACTCTGGTTTATCTGGATCAGGGGACACAGGTTGAGACTTCGCCGGGAAAGGGCAGCATTTGTGTAGGCACCAGGCAAAGCCAAGGCTGTGATGAGAACCAAGGCTCAGATGCAGCAGGATCCAACTCCTGCTACTGGAAGAGACTGGGCCGACATAGCTGAAGTTAAGAAGTGAGATAAACAGTGCCCCAGAAGAACCAAGGATAGTAGGCTCAGCCTTGGAGTTCAGCCAAAGTCTGGCTGTCATTTCTTAGTGACAAGAAACAGTAGGTAGAAAAGCACTTACACTTTAGGATCAGTCAAGATGTAAAGTAACAGGCCCCAAACCCAAATGGTAAGAGTAGGAATGGGAAAAAATGGAACTTGAGAGACTTTATGCAACAGAAAGAAAAAAAATGATGAAGCAATTTGACCTTTGCCCATATCTAAGCCAATTATTTAGACAGAAAATCCAAATAGGTCTAGAGAGGAAATGAGAACTCTACACAAAAACAGGCAAGGAAATTAGGCCTACTTCTTTGTGGTTCCAAAAGATTATATGAAGTGTCTAGCTAGGAGCTGGCTACGTTATTTCCAGAAACTGACCTTCTCTTATGTTGGTGATGGTGTAGTACCCACAGTCAGCATTGTTCACACAGGTCGACAGCCAGGCTTCAAACGCTAGGTAGCTGTCACTTTCATGTCAATAGCCTGCATTTTCTTAAAATACAACATACAGATATACAATCCTGAAGAACTTGAGATTTAGTGGGAGAGTCTTGTATTGCCAAGAGGGAAAAAACCCACACGTGCATTTCAGTGCAAAGGTTTTTTTTTTCACTACTATGCCTACACTGTTTCTCTCTTTCTCTCTCTCTCTCTCTCTCTCTCTCTCTCTCTCTCTCTCTCTCTCTCTCTCTCTCTCTCACACACACACACACACACAGGAAAGGCTACCAGTCATACAGGTCCTCCTTTGAGTTCATCTTCAACACTTCTTATAGAATCATCATCATGAAATACTTTTGAGGACTCAGGCAGTGCATAAATGTATAACCTGAATGCAAGCAACATATCAAAACTCCTAGACCAAAAAAAAAAAAAAAAGTCATAGATACAGAAGGGGAAGAAGCTGTTTCTGATTTCCTAATAAGCATCTTTGAATCCCCTATAACCAAAGTCCAAATATGATTTTATGCTTGAAGCATGGTCAAGCAAGGAAAGAAGAAGTGTTGTACCATACTGAGGTCTAAGAGACAGTTCTCATCCCAAACCCATATTGCCTACCAGCTGCTAGACTGTCCGACTACAATTCTGAACAGTCTCAAACGAATTCTCAGAACTTCATACTTTTTTTCTTAAAGGTTTCTCTTGCTTTTATTTAAAAATCAAGTAATATATGTGTGTCATGTCTCACTCCAGTAAGAGAAAGGAGAGAAGAAACAAATTTCAAGAGTTGCAACAGGTTCAAATCATTCTTAACACTCTCATTAATCACTTATTCATTAAGCATTAATGCAGGTGCCATGTACGTTCCAGCGCTTCAGGATCCGATGCCTGACAATCTGTGCATTACAGTACTCACCACTTAGTATGAGATTCAAATATGAATGAAAAAAACTTTCCCGATAATATGTCAGTACAAACTGATAAGTGCTAAGAAGGAAACAATAAAACTCAATTCTTTGAAAGTTTGAAAGAATTGAGAGTCACTGGATCAGATATTGGTAGAATCAAGTACAGGACAAAGGAAGATTCTGAAACAAAACTTATGAGTAATTAAAATTCTTTGATTAGTTCTTTGATTAGTAGAGCAGTATCATTCACTACAGCAGAACTGTAATGGTGATAGAAGCTGCTAAGGTAGAGACTTACTTGGGCTATAAAATGCAGCTAGCCAACTAACACATTTGCATTATTCCAAAAAGCTTCCCCAGTGGCTTCCTCATATGATGTTTGTACCCCATGTTTTATGCCAAAGTGCCATGGGCACATTCACAAAGACTACAATGTGGCTCTAGTCGCTATTTTGGCTATTTTAATTTCCTGAACTAAAAACAATAATATTAATACAGTTTTCTGTAGAAAGCAGTTCCTCCGTAAAGCAGAGCACTGGATCTAGCAAGCACGGTTTGGATCATTCTGGTTTTGCCCTCCCTCCAGTCCATGCTCAACCCAGCACCTCCCTTCCTATTCAGCCCTTGCCCAGTCAACAGAGCAGAGGTGAGAGTGCTCCAGGGGAAGTACTTACTTCCTTTCTTCAAGCAGGGCAATTTCTTTCTTGACCTCATGGTATTCTTCCGCAATTTGGCAGTGCTGTTTGAACACCTGCATGGATTCCACGGAGTCATGACAAGGTGGCAGAGGCTTCAGGGACGAAAAAGAAATTAGCTCATTTCTCTTTAAGTCAGAAGAAATTGCCAATGATTTTTGCTCTACTCGTTTCTTCACAAGAAGGGTTTTTTCCCCACTTCTTTTTTCATGACAACAGCTTTGTCAGTCAGTATTGGACTGAGTTCAGCTGATTCTATTTGACTGCAAAGAGACAGGCCTGCTGATAACCCCCACATACACTTCCCAGTGTCACTCACAGACATCCCAGAACATCCACTACCTGCCGCAAGTTGGGGTATAAATAAGTCTCCAAATGATTCTCTTATTATCCCCAGAAATGGTAAACTTTGTCTTAGGGCTGTGGAGGGGGATATTTCAGTTGTCTGTGTCAGTTCCCCGATGTTTTCTATTGCTATAATCCAGAGAAATGGTCTCATTTTGTAAATTGGAGTGGCGGTAAAAGAAAGGCTGTCTGCTTTTTAGCGAATGTTTGTTTTTGTGTTTCAAAGGCACAGCAACACAGAGAAGCAAAGACACAGATTTTTTATGTACTGGTTCACTCCCCAAATGGCTACAACACCTCGACGCCAGAAACTCCATCTTACTGGCCAGAGTCAAAGTACTTGTGCGTAGGCCATCCTCTGCTGCTTTCCCCAGCCCATTAACAGGAAGATGAACTAGAAGTGAAGCAGTTGGAACTTTAACTGGCTCTGATACGGGATGCTAAAGTCACAAAGCAGATGCTTGACATGCTCAAATCACAACACCTGTGCCCGGAAAGGCCGCCTTCTGAAACGTGGAGCCTGAAGAAATGATGTTACGCTAAATATAACGCCTGCAAGGGTTGATCACCTGTGTGAAAGACCAACTCGTACCCTCCCCGCCCCACCCCCACCCCCACGCACAAAGAGAGTCTTCTGACATGCAGAATGGACAGCACCTGTCTCTTCTTCTCTATCCACAGAGGAAACAAAGGCCAGCCTGGCAAGTCATCCTAACCTCTCAACATGGTGAAAAGCGCATTTTTTTTCTTTTTTAATGATTTTGTTTTGGTAGGAAATGAAGAGTTAAAGAGGGGGTGGGGGAACCTCCATCTACTGGTTCATTCTTCAAACGGGTGCAATGGCTGAACTGGGCCAGAACAAAGCCAGGAGACAAGAACTTCTTCCAGGTTTCCTATATGGGTACAAGGGCCCAACAACTTGGGCCATCCTGTGCAGAGAGCTAGATCAGCAATAGAACAGCAGGGGACTCAAGCCAGCATCAATATGGGATGCAGAACTATATTGGATTAGCCCACTATACCATGCATCAGCACTTGAAAAGCATACTTACTTTTAAAATTTATTTATTTTTATTAGAAAGGCAGAGCCACAGAGAGAAGGAGAGACAAAGAGAAAGAGCTTCCATTCATTGGCCCACTCCCCAAGTAGCTGCATTGGCCAGAGTTGAGTCAATCTGAAGCCAGGAGCCTGGAGCCCCCTCTGGGTCTCCCATGCAGGTGCAGAGTCCCAAGGCCAGAGGCCATCCTCCACTGCCTTTCCAGGCCACAAGTAGGGAGCTAGAATGGAAGTAGAATAGCCAGGATACAAACCAGTCCCACATGGGATCCTGGCACGTGCAAGGCAAGCACCCAGCCACTAGGCCATCACACTGGGCCCTGAACAGCCTATTCTAAAAACTATTTTGAAAAATTAATTTTCCTTAAGTTTAACCTAATTTCTACTGTATCAACTTATGATTAAACATTCTACCTTTAGCTAGTTAATAGTCATTTTAAGGGTTTTTAAATAATCTTTTTCAATTCACTATGTAAGAAATCATGTAAGATCTGAGAAATTAATTAATTGGTTTTTTTATTTCATTTTATGACACAATTTCATAGGCTCTGCAATTCCCCTAACCCAATTAATTGTTAAATAGGGCCTTCAATCCAATCTCTTCTTCCCAATAATCTGTGTATGTAAATCATGTATCTAACCAGGCCATATTCTCATTTTATCTTAGTAAATTGAGAACTAATGAATTTCTTACTATCTGTTTCTCTCATATTCTTCCAGGACACACATTTCTTTTGGGGTTGTATTTAGTGATTCTATGGCACAGCACCGCCTCCAGCCCCCAATGTATCCTGTAAAGGACTCTTACGGGAAGCCCGCTTCATTTCTACACAAACTATCTCTCCTTCTCAAATTTCTCACCAGAGAACTGCAAATTTCTCATCTCTGTGTAACCCCTAGCCACTTGTCACAAGGCCCAAATGTCACTGGACACGTCAGTGGGATACACTTATAGCTTAGAATCAACTCAGAATGAACAAACTCCTTCTTACCGCGTCTGGGTGTAGGCAAACTAACTGATAACTTAACTTCTAGGCCAAACACACCCCTACCTTGTTCTTTGCTATTCGGTGATTGTTTATTGTGAGAAATCTTGAAAATATAACAAGGAAGTAACACAATCCCGCTTAGAGCGTGTGAGCATACTAAAAATATCCTGAAATATGAATTGTCCTCATGTCAGTTAGAAGCAGAGACCACCTGTATATCAAAGTATCTTCAAATTTCCCATAATTAGGAAGTAGCAGCAACAAAGAACAAATTAAAACTACAACCAAATGTCATTGGACAAATGGATAGGGTCAACTTTTGTCTTGAGAAGGCAATGGGCATCAGCTATTTGCCTTTGTTAAGGAAACTGATAAAAACAATTTGCTTAAATATATATGTTTTTCATCACAGTAACAATTCTGGTGATTGAAAATTTTGAGATGTTTAGTTTCACACCTACTATCAATAGTGGAACTACATGATAATGTGTATCATTCACTACAGAATCTTTTCATTGCTTTGTGCTATAACATGAGTATGGATAAGGTATCAAAAGGCCATCATTGGGAATGATTCTCCTACCTTCTTTCAGTTCTAAAAACAAGAGCCAATGGGTAAACAACAACACTTACTGAACGAATGTTTCTTCCTGAAGAAATAGATCCCTAAAACTTAAGCACAACAATCAGGTTTCTTTCTGCAAATGTAAGTATCAATAGATTTAAATAAAGTGACATCTGAAACACCACCAATCAGGAATTAATTCACCATACATGGTATTGAGAGACTGTAGCACATGTTCAAATTAACAGTTAGGCCTCCGCCTGGGACACCATCATTCATAGCAGAGCGCCAGTTTGAGTCCCAATTACTCTGCTTCCAATTCAGCACCCTGATAATAATGAGCACGGGAAAGTAACAGAAGACAGCCTGACTCCCACACAGGAGACCAGGCCCATGTTCGCACCCTTGTCCAGCTCCACGCACTGCAGCCATTTGAAGAGTGAGCCAACAGAAGTAATATCCTTTTCTCTGGAATCAGCTCAGAAGCATATGTTCTGTCTATATTACCATCATTCTATACAGGCACCAGTTTGAGTCCCAGATGCTCCAATACAGATCCAGCTTCCAGCTAACAGCCTGGAAAAGCAGCAGAGGATGGTTCAAGTCCTTGGGCCTCTGCACTCACATGGGAGACCCAGAAGAAGCTCCAGGTTCCCGGCTTTGACAGGTTTAGCTCTGGCCATTGTGGCCATTTGGGCAGTGAACCAACAGATGGAAGACCTCTCCATAGATCTCCTTTCATATAAAAATAAATAAATCTTTGGGGGAAAAACAAAATCTCTTTCTCTGTGTAACCCTCACTCTCCCTCTTGATCATTCTGTCTTTCAAATACATAAAGTAAACTTTTTATAAAAGCAGAAGAGCTCAGTGTGATGGCTCAGTGGCTGAATCCTTGGCTTGCATGCACCTGGATCCCATATGGGCCCCAGTTCGTGTCCTACTGCCTCACTTCCCATCCAGCTCCATGTTTGTGACCTGGGAAAGCAGTTGAGGATGATCCAAAGCCTTGGGATCCTGAACCCTCATGGGAGACCCAGAAGAAGCTTCTGGCTCCTGGCTCCTAGATCCTTGGAACAACTGCAATCATTGTGGCCAGTTAGAGCATGTCCAAGTGGACAGAGATTTTTCTCTATCCCCTTCTCTTTATAAATCTGCCTTTCCAAAAAACAGAAGTAAATCTTTTAAAGCAAAAATTTAAAATACTTGAAAAATGCCTACTTCAAAAACCACCTGAGAAACATCTATTGACTTCTTGGATTAATAGCACCCTATTTCAATTCTCAGTGCTTGATTTTGATTGTAGATAGGCAATTTATTTTTACATCAAGATATTTGCCTTGCAAGTTTCCTCCATAATTGTGCTACATCCTCCAATGCTTTGAAAATATTTATCCTGCATTCTTGCATGACGAATAACATCATATTCTGAAGAAAAGAAATCCAAACATAGCTAGTTCAAATGATGAAAAGATAAAGATATTTCTAATGTCCAGGGATACGTCAAAAAAGTTGTGGAGAAGATGAACTAAAACACCACCACCAACAACAAAAAAAACCTTACGCATGGATTTCAAAGATTTTTGTGCCCAAATAAACTTATCTTCTCATTCTGCTTATCCATGGGCTTTTTGAAGCACTCTCATATGAGAGCACAATTCTTGCATGACCACTGAAAACTTCGGACCCACTCAATGTGAGAGTATCTGGTCTACTACCCAACATAGCAGGTTCCAAGAAACATAAAGGAAAGCATTCTAACAGTGTGTCAAATCCACTTTGAGGCCCATTTTTTTCAAGTTGCACATTGGTGCTTGGATGAGTTTAGAACCCAGGAGGGCGTTCTTCCTCCTCAGCCCCTTACCTCACACTTCCTCCCTCCATGCGTGGGAACAGGGCTTGCAGAGGCTTTAAATTACAGAGCAGTACAAGGCAGCTGCTACTCTCTCTGGTATCCACCCCAATCATCAGGACAGATTTAACAAGATGAAGTAAGAGAGAAACCACAGAGTCCTGATCCAAGAATGCAGGTTTGAACCACACCATAGCATCCAGGCTCTTGCATGAACCATCCATTCATAGCACACTCCTCCCATAGTGGATTCCAGCCCCTGGAAAGAGCCCCGTGGGAAAGGTCCCAG